GCCCTCTAGGGGCCATCTTGGAGGCCACTTGGGCCATCATGGGGCTCTCTTGGGGGCCTCTTGGGCGATCTTGGGGGCTTCTTGGGCCGTCTTGAGCCGTCGGAGAGCCGAAAAGGCGCAAATGCCAAAATCCTTCAAAAACCAAGGGAAAATCAATGATTTTGGCCTCTTCGGACTCTCCTGGAGGACCTCTTGGAGGCCTCTTGGGCCGTCTGGGAGGCCTCTGGGGGGCCTCTTGGGCCGTCTTGGGCCGTCTTGGACTCTCTTGGGCCGTTTTGGAGGCCGTCTTGGACCATCTCGGGCGGACTTGGATACATCTTGGGCCGTCTTGGAGGCATCTAAAGGCCATCTTAGCCGTCTTGGAGACCATCTTGGCCATCTTGGAGGCATCTTGGAGGCCAGTTCGAGCCATCTTGGAGGATTTTTTCCGGTCGTTGAGCACGTTTGGGGGCCTTCCGGGTGGCCGGCGGGTTCTGCCGGAGCCCACTGGGGAGTTCTTTTGGAAAAAGAACCAAAACCAAAACCTGAAACATCCAGCACGCCGTGCACCCCTGCAAGCAGGGGGCGGCGGATCGAAGACGCCTACGGCGAATCACCGCCGCCCCCTGCCTTTTTGGAAACGCCGATGTGGCCGAAAGTTGGACTAGAGCTTGGCCAAGCTATCGGACCATGAGTTCCCCGAGTCGGTTTGGAAAGCTTTCGGGGAACACATGGGAGAGAATGATTATGAACAGGAAGAGGAAGAGGAAGAAGTAGAGTAGGAGGATGAGGGTTGTTAGGAGTCTCTTGGGGCACCCTTGGGGTCTGTTGGGGGCTTCTTGGGGGCCTCTTCGAGGCCTCTTGGAGGCATCTTGGGGGCCTCCTTGGGCCTCTTGGGGGCCTTTGGGGGCTTCCTGGGGGTCTCTTTGGCCGTCTTAGGGCGTTCCTGGTCCGTCTGACGCCGTCTGGAGCCGTCTTGGGGGCCTCTCTGGGCCGTCTTGGGGCCCTCTTGGGGCGCTTCAGGGCCGTCTTGGAGGCCATGTTGGGCGTCTTGGAGGCCTCTTGGGCCGTCTTGGGGCGCTCTTGGGGCCGTCTTGGGGGGCCCTTGGGCCGTCATAGGGCCTTCTTGGAGGCCTCTTGGGCGATCTTGGGGGCCTCTTGGGCCGTCGGAAGGCCGAAAAGAAGAAAACGCAAAAAACCTTCAAAAACCTAAGGAAAACCAATGATTTTGGCCTCTTCGGGCTCTCCTGGAGAACGTCTTGGAGGCCTCTTGGGCCATCTTGGAGGCATCTTGGGGCCATCTTGGCCGTCTTGGAGGGCATCTTGGGCCGTCTTGGAGGCATCTTGGAGCCATCTTACCCGTCTTGGAGGCCATCTTGGCCGTCTTGGAGGCATTTTGGAGGCCATCTTGGAACCGTCTGGGGCAGGAAATTGGGGAATTGAGCTCCTGGGCATCCTTTCCGGGTGGCCGGCGGGACGGGCCGAAGCCCACTGGGGAGTTCTTTTAGAAAAAGAACCAAAACCAAAACCTGACAGCTCATCCAGCACGTCGTGCACCCCTGCAAGCAGGGGGCGGCGGATCTACTGGCCTTCGGCCCATCCCGCCACCGTGCCTGGGTGGTGGGCCAAAGGCCACTGGAGTGCTCGTTGGGATCTCGTGGTTGGCGGCTTGGGGGCCTCTTGGAAACAGCTTTGGGGCCCTTGGGGGGTTCCTCGTAGGGCCTCTTGGGAGCTTTCGGGGGCCTCTTGGGCGCGAGCGTTCGCCTCGCAGGCGGGCGTTCGCGCAGGAGGCGAGCGTGCGCCCTGGAGGTGGGCGTGGGGCCCGGAGGAGGTCCCCTGGGCGGCTCCCACACTCTTCCTGCTGCGCTCGTCTGAAATCACTGCTGGGTGCTCTTCTTGCGCACTGCGGGTCCTTCAGAATGCCAGTCAGCATTGAGTGGTCCTGGGTAGAATCGCCACATGTATAGAAAGGGTGGGGTACGTCACATAGTATTTCTTCCTCCAAAGTCCGCCTGTAGGAGGACATGCCCGACCTAGTCGTAGGCGACTGCCCGCCCCCAGTCCCTAAGTTGTACCCCCAAAAAGGCTCGTCGCTGGCAGGCGGAAGCTTTGGGATAGCCCCAGGAGGGGCTGTATTGTGCAGGCCCTGTTGCCAGTGCCGCCGACCCTGAAGACGACGGCGACGAGGAGGACGAGGAGGAGGGGGGGGAGGAGGAGCAGGAGGAGCAGGAGGAGGAGGAGGAGGAGGAGGAGGAGGAGGAGGAGGAGGAGGAGGAGGAGGAGGAGGAGGAGGAGGAGGAGGAGGAGGAGGAGGAGGGAGGAGGGGGACGAGGAGGAAGGGGAGGAGGAGGGGGAGGAGGACGAGGAGGAGGAGGAGGAGGAGGAGGAGGAAGAGGAGGAGAAGGAGGAGGATGCGGAGGAGGCCCCCAAAGCTAGTCGCTTGCAAACGGAAGCTTGGGGATAGCCTCGTGGGGGGGTAGAGTGGATGCGTGCCTATCGAGGACCAGCGCCCTCCCATCGTACATTCCTGGGCTGGACCCTGCCCTGCACTCATGAGGGAAAAACGCACACGGATACGAATCATTGTCGATTTCTAGGAAGTTGATTCTGGAAACAAGGGAAGCCGAGGGGAAGACGAGATTTGATCATATATGGCATATGTGGGGAATCCTGGGATTGATGTGTGCTTATTGGTGTGTCTCTGGGCTCCTTCATAGATTTCCCGTCCAGTCGAAAGTCCCACCACTTCAGGGATTGGGGCCGCCATACCCTTGGTCATCTCCTTCCCCTCGTCTCCCTCCTTCCCAGAGTCGATGTCGATCGCGGCCGGCCCGACCCGATTCGATCCTGGTATTCCAGCGATCCGATGCGGTCAGATGCTTCCGTGGCGCTGCTGCGCACCCTGGCGCAGCCGATCCGACCCGCTGCGGGCCCTGTGCCGGTGCGGCCCCGACCGCCGCGCGTTCCGTATCGATCCGGCTTCCCGATGCGATGCGCGATGCGCGGGTAAGAGACAGCCACGCGCAGAGGGGGGTGGAGGGGCAGGGGCGAGGGCTTCTCAGAAGCACCCCTGTTTCTTAGAAGGCGCGGGCTTTATCTGTAGATGTAAGGCCGGCGCCTTCTAGGAAGCAGCCTCCGCCTACATCTACAGATGTAGGGCCCGTCTGGCATCCATAGATCTGGCCCGCGCCTTCTAAGAGGTAGCCTCCGCCCAAGAAGCCCTCCCCCCTTCCTCCACCCCCTTGTGCGCGCCGCCAGAAGAGCGGCGCCTGGCCGCGCTGCGAGGGACCGGGGACGACCTGTGTGCACCGTGGCGCGTTGGCGTATCTCGTGGCGCCCTCGATGTTCGACCCAGGAACGGTACGGCGCACAGCTAGTCTGAAGTCGGTCCGGTCCCTCTACAGGAGGGATCTTCACGAATAGTCGAGAAACAGTCCGGGGATTGTCTGGGACTCTTTTTGAGCATCGTTGGAGTATCTGTGTTTTTTTTTCCGCCCCAAAATCCGCCTGTATGGGGGACATGCCCGACCTAAAGCCAGTCTCTCGACCCCAAATCCGCCTGCAGGGTGACATGCCCCCTGAGCCGACGGACTCATGCGCCGTGCCGCGTGCGGGCGGGGGCCCGACGGGAGTCTCCAGACGTGTACGGCGACCACGGGCGCCGTTCGCGCAGGGAGCGCGTTCGCCCTCGAGAGGCCCGGGCGGAGGAGCCCAAACGTTCGGGGGGGCGCCCCGCCTCGGCCCAGGCGGGGCGCCCCCTCCTCCTCCTCCTCCTCCTCCTCCTCCTCCTCCTCCTCCTCCTCCTCTTCTGCCTCCTCCTCCTCCTCCTCCTCTTCTGCCTCCTCCTCCTCCTCCTCCTCCTCTTCTGCCTCCTCCTCCTCCTCCTCCTCCTCCTCCGCCTCCGCCCGTGGCGCAAGACGTCCCCCTTCTGGGGGAGGGGCCGCCCCCGCCAAGGCTTCGGCACGAGTCGCGGGCCTCTTCCCCTCGGGTGCTGTCCCTGACCTGAACTCCCCGCGGGCAAGGCCGCGGCACGGAACGTTCCCAGACTGGCCCCTCGCTTACCCCTTACCCCTGCCCCCTCTCCGCCCCCCCCCCTCCTCTTCCCCCCCAGGGAGGCTAGGGAGGAACGACGGAGAGGGCAGGCGCAAGGGGAGAGAGGAGAGGCCGGGCCTTGCTCCCTGCTCTCCTCCGCGCTCCCTCGCAGCTCCCTCTCCCCCTCCCTTTCCTCTCCTCTGTTTCCTTCACTCCCTTTCTCTCTCTCGCTCCGCCCCCCTCTTTCCAAGGAGAGGAGAGGCAGGGACCACCGCCACCGAGAGCCCATCGAGGGGGGAGGCCGGTCTTAAGTCGGGCCTGTCCCCCTACAGGAGGAATACTCAGAAACAGTCAAAACATAGTCGGGGGACGATTCTTTGAGTATTGTTTTGCCATTTTGATTGATTTTTGTTGGCTATTTCATTTTCCGTCCAAGATCTCCCTGTGGGAGGACATGCCCGACCTGGGGCCAGTCCCTGGGCGGAGGCGCACCCGAGCGCAATCCAGCACCGGGCGACGATCGGGCGTGCCAGCGCCCAGGGGTGTTTCGCCCCCGACGTCGGGTGCTGCCAGGTGTGCCCCTGGTCGGAGGTGTCCCCGGGACTGCCGCGGTGGCCCCACAGGCTTCAAAGAGCACCCCTCACGAGGCCCAGGGGGGCTCCCACGTGGAGCGAAGAGCTGGGGGCCCCTTGGGGCCAGGGGGGCGCCCTGGAGCGACCGCCGACGATGGGCTCTTGTGTGTGGTGGTCCCTGCTGTTGATGGGCAAGTTTTTTCCACCGACGGGGGAGAAGGGAGGATCAGGAGGTCCCCCTCCTCCTCCTCCTCCTCCTCCTCCTCCTCCTCCTCCTCCTCCTCCTCCTCCTCCTCCTCCTCCTCCTCTCTCTCCTACCTACGGTAGTGGTGGTGGAACATGGGCCCATCAGCTTTCCTTCCCCCTCCCGCGGCTTCCCGCCTCGCCTCCCCGCCTCCTGGATAGCAGGGCGGGGGCAGGGCTACGCCGAGCCGCACGGGCTGGGCGCCGCCCTGGGCGGCGGCGGTGGCGCCGCGGCCCGCGGACGTCTGTTGTCGTCGTTGTCGCGTCGTCGTCGTCGCCGTCGTCGTCGTCGTCGTCGTCGTCGTCGTCGTCGTCGTCGTCGTCGTCGTCGTCATGGTCGTCGTCGTTGTCGTCGTCGTCGCCTGGCTTCTTGTCATCCTTCCCGTTATCCTCCCTCTTCCTCGTTTCTCTCCTCCTGCTTCTCGTCGTCGTCGTCCTCCTCCTCCTATGCTAACCATGCTAACCTTTCCTTCTCCTCTTTCTCCTTGGTGGTGGGGAGAAGGAGGACGTGGAGGAGAAGGATGTGGAGGCAAAGGGCGGTTGAGCAGGAGAAGGAGGACCAGTTTAAATCCAAGTTTCATCAGCGATGTTGGAGTACACCCTACCTCCAAGCTCCCTCTCCATAGGCCCCTACAAGGGTTCTTTTCCATTGAGGGGACTGCCCCGTTGGGAAGACAACCGTTTGAAAATCCTGAAGCGTGCCAAACCACCAATGTCGGGGCTCCAACGCCACACATCAACCTGACTGTTGCGTCTTGACGATCCTGAATCGTACAAAAGCACCGTTCCTGGGGCTTCAACACCGCGTATGATGATAACCATTGCGCCTCGACAATCCTGAATCTTTCCGAAATTGAATTCGTGTTATGTTAGCCGTAAGAACACGTGAATCTCTGGCACATTTTAAAGCGAATGTGCGCGTCGCTGAGGCGAGAGCCACATTTTGAAAAGGAGCCGCCCACAGTCCGTGAAGCTCGTGCAATTTGTTAAAACGAATGTGCGCGGCGCTAAGGCGAGAGCCACATTTTGAACACGACCCGCCCTCAAGCCGGGAAATTCTTGCAAATTTTACAGACGAATGCGCGCGGCACTGTTGCGAGAGCCACATTTTGAAAACGACCCGCCCTCAATCCGTGAAGCTCTTGCAAGTTTTTAGCACGATTGAGCGCGGCGCTAAGCGAGAGCTAAATTTTGAAAACCACCTGCCCTCCATTTGTGAAACTATTGTCATTTGTCAGTTTCATAAGTGGTGATGAACTCTCTGGCGAAATGCCCTGCCCGCGCTTCCGACTGGCCTCTGGGTGCAACAGGGAGGAGTTATTTCTAAGGAAGAGGAATGGAGGAGGATGGGGAGGATGAGGATGAGGAGAACGAAGAGGCATGGGGAAAGGGGGAGGGACAATGGTGATGTGGATGGAGAAGGAAGAGGGAAGGACGGAGGAGGTGAGCGTGGGGAAAGTGAGAGGAGTAAGATGGTAGATGAGGGAGGAGGGATGATGATGAGGGGAAGAAGAGGGCGGAGGGAGAAGGTGGAGGAGGTAGATGAGGCGGATGAGGATAATGATGATGATGCTGATGATGATGATGCTGATCATGGTGATGATGATGTTGACGATGACGATGACGATGAGGATGAGGATGAGGATGACGATGAGGATGAGGATGACGATGACGATAACGATGACGATGACGGTGACAATGCTGCTGATGCTGATAACCATGATTCTGATGATGACGACGATGATGACGCTATGATGATGATGGTGATGATGCTGATGATGACGACGACGATGATGATGATGCTGATGGTGATGATTGTGATGGACGTGGTGATGGTGATGATGGTGATGGTGGGGGTGGTTATGATGATGATGACGAGGAGGATGGTGAGGCGGAGGATGAGGATGACGTTGATGTCGGTGATGAGGAGGAGGAGGTGGAGGAGGATAGTTGACAGGAGGAGGAGGTGGATGAGGATGTGGATGCGGATGATGACGATGATGATGACGATGATGATGAAGAAGAAGCTGAAGCTGAGATGCTGATTACGATGATGATGATGAGGATGATGATAATGATGCTGATACTGAGGATGATTATAATGGCGACGACGATGATGCTGATGATGATGAGGCGGAGGATGACGATGATGATGCTGCTTCTGATGATGATGATGCTGATGGTGGTGGTGGTGGTGGTTGTGATGGTGGTGGTGGTGATGATGATGGTGGTGGTGATGATGATGCTGCTGATGATGGTGGTGGTGGTGATGATGGTGATGTTCGTGGTGGTGATGATGATTATGATGATGGCGAGGAGGATGATGAGGCGGAGGAAGGAGTGAATGACGATGATGATGAGGAGGAGGTGGAGTAGGATGCTTGACAGGAGGAGGATGAGTATGAGGATGCGATTGCGAATGAGGGTGATTATGAGGATGATGAGACTGGCGATGGTCATGATGATGATGGGGATGATGATGCTGAGGATAAGGATGATGATGATGATGATGATGATGATGATGATGGTGATGACGATGATGATGATGACGATGATGATTATGGTGTTGATGACGATGGTGATGCTGATGGCGACGACGACGACGACGTTTACGATGATGATGCTGATGATGATGATGCTGGTGATGATGATGATGATGATGATGATGATGACGATGATGATGATGATGATGATGAGGATGATGATGATGATGATGATGTTGTTGATGATGATGATGATGATGATGACGATGACGAGGACGAGGACGATGACGAAGCTGATGCTGATGATGATGATGATGATGATGATGATGATGATGATGATGATGATGATGATGGCGATGATGATGATGATGATGATGATGATGCTGCTGCTGCTGATGATGATGGTGATTCCTCTCGCTTAGCGGGGGTGCACGTCCGGACCACGTATAGTCCAGTTGTTGCGGGGCCTCTTGGGAGCTTCTTTGTGGCCTCTTGGAGGTGTCTTGGGTAGGGGCTTCCTGGGGCCTCTTGGGGGCGTCTTGGGCCGTCTTGGGGCGCTCTTGTGGCGTGTGGCCCATTCGGAGGCCGTCCTGGGGGTCCCTCGCGGCCGTATTGCGGGCCTTAAGAGGCCGCCTTGGGGCGGTCCTCTTGGGCCGTCTTTGGAGCCTCTTGAGGCGTCTGGAGGGCCTCTTTGGGCCGGCTTGAGCCCTCTTCGGCCGCCTGCGGGCCCTCTTAAGGGCCCTCTTGAGGGCTTATTGGGCCGTCTTGGAGCCATTTCGGAGGCTTCTTGGGCCGTCCTGGGGCTCGGGGAGTCGACAAAGGCGAGAACGCCAAAATCTTTCAAAGCCCAGAATGGAAATCAATGATTTTTGTTTCTGGAAGCGCTCTCGGAGGTCCTCTTGGCGCCCTCTTGGGGCGTCTGTTTTTTGGGGGGGGCTTTCTTGGGGCCATCCTGTACCGTCTTGGTCACGTCGTCGCGGGGCCTCTTGGGAGCCTCTTCGGGGCCTCCTGGAGGCCTCTTGGGAGCTTCTTTGAGCCTCTTGGGGACGTCTTTGGGGCCTCTCCCCCCTCCCTCCTTTTCATACTCCCTCCCCATATCCCCTTCCAGCGCGAGCTCTAATCATTGGCGTCGCCGTGACCAACTTCCACCTGGCTGGCGCTGCGCCGCACTTCGCCCAGGGGGGAAAAATGACACTACACTCCTGTCGCTGTGCGGGCTTGGGGGAGCTTCTATGGGGCCTTTTGGAGGCTTCTTGGAGACTTCTTGGAGGCCTCTTGGGGGCTTCTTGGGGCCCCTTGGGGGCCTCTTGGGGGCCTCTTGGGGCCTCTTGGGGGCGTCCTGGGCCGTCGTGAGGTGCTTTTTCTGCCGTTTCGCCCCTTCGGAGGCCGTCTTGGGGGCCTCTCGTGGCCGCCTTGGGGCCCTCTTGGGGTCCTCTTGGGCCCTCTTAGGGGCCTCTTGGACCGTCTTGGGGGTCTCTTTGGGCCGTCTTGGGACCCTCTTGGGTCGTCTTGGGGCTCCCTTGGGGACTTTTTGGGGTGTTCTGGAGCGATTTTGGAAGCTGTTTGGGCCGCAAAGGCGAGAACGCTGAAATATCGCCAAAACCATTGGAAAATCAATGATGCTGGCCTCTGGAGGCACAGTTGTGGGCGCTCTTGGGGCCCTCTTGGGCCGTCATTGGGTTTTTTTGGGCCCTCTTGGGCCCATCTTGAGCCGTCTTGGCGCCCTCGTGGCCCCCCAAGAGGCCCAAGAGGTCGAAATCATTGATTTTCTATAGGTTTTTGTATGTTTTTGAGCCCCGGGAGGGGGTGGCCACTTTGGGTCGACGGATGTGGCGTAGCCCCCGGTGGGGGTTGGGGGGAGACATCATAATGTAACATCATACAATATGTGGCAACTATGCAATCTTTGGATACATTGGATACGTTGCATTAAGGCGTTCGCCGGAAAACGCTGCCGCTCAGCACGTCACCTCCGGACGTGGATTCCTCTCGCTTCGCGGGGTGCACGTCCGGAGCACGTACAGTCACGTCGTCGCGGGACCTCTTGGGAGCCTCCTGGGGGCCTCCTGGAGGCCTCTTGGGAGCTTCTTTGGGCCTCTTGGGGACTTCTTTGGGGCCTCTCCCCCCTCCTACTCTCTCCCCATCTTCCCATCCGGCGCCGGCTCTAATCATGGGCGCCGCCGTGACCAACTTCCACCTGGCTGGCGCTGCGCCGCAGTTCGCCCAGGGGGAGAAAAATAACATTACACTCCAGTCGTTGTGTGGCCTTGTGGGGGCTTCTTTGAAGCCTCTTGGAGGCTTCTTGGGGACTTCTTGGAGGCCTCTTGGGTTTTTTGTTGGAGCCCCTTGGGGGCCTCTTGGGGCCTCTTGGGGCCTCTTGGGGGCGTCTTGGGCCGTCATGGGGCGCTTTTGCGCCGTTCCGCCCTTGGGGGCCTCTCGCGGCCGCCTTGGGGTTCTCTTGGGGTCCTCTTGGGACGTGTCAGGGTTTTTTTTGACCGCCTTGGGGGTCTCATTGGGCCGTCTTGGGGCCCTCCTGGGCCGTTTGGGGGCCCTGTTGGGGGCTTATTGGGTCTTTTTGGGGCAATTTTGGTGGCTGCCTGGGCGGCCGTGGACTTCTGAGAGTCGAGAAAGGTGAGAAAGCTGAAATCATCAAACAACTATAGGAAACTGAATGATTTTGGCTTCTGGGGGCACTCTTGGGGGTCGTCTGGGGGCCCTCTTGGGACCTCTTAGGAGTTTCTTGGGCCTTT